CGACACCTAGCAACTGGAACGCTTGCAAAACAGTAGCTTCAATGGAAACACCTACTGCCACTCTTCGCATGATATCATGCAGTTCGTGCTCGACTACAAAGTGCCTCAACCCGCCCCCAAAGACTGCCTGAGGGGCAATTAGAACCTCCACTTCAGGGGGCCCTCCATCAATGCGAGCAACAACTTGCTGATGGACAAGCAACCAGACTGAGGTGGTAAGTCGTAACTTTTCATTGGCTACAGCGGCCATTTGCTCGGCCCAAAGCTGCCCCGCATGCAGCTCAGTATCCGCACGTCTGCCAACCTGAGGCAGAGGAGAATCAAAATACCACCCACTGATTTGTGCGGCAAAAGCACTTCCTGTGTAGCGTCTCAGGAATGTATAGCCAACATCAATCCAATCTTTTCTGCCAGATCTTACTAGCTTGACGTTGGTCAACCGGAGGATGCGCGTGCGCAAACCGATCCCTCTGCATAAGACAAAGACTGTCCCCTGGCAGAATGGGATCATCCAAAATGCAAGCGTTCTCACGATTTGGTTGACGATTCATGCTGACAAAACTACCATCTGGGTAGTTGATTCTAACATTCCAGTACGGGGTGTCTCCCGCCTTTGCGAATCAACATGGGTGCCACAGAAGTGACCTGGATCAACCAAATCAAACAACGTTTTGACTCGCGCAACTTCGAAAAACTGACAGCGCCCATTATCATGGGAGTGCGATCAACTTGAAGTAGATATAGTCTACTAGCACAGTTCGATACAGTGGTGGCCAAGAATGTCCAACTCAATTCAGCAAGAGCAACAACCCTGACTGGTTGTCCATATATGCGATGCCTCCATGCTTGGTGCGTTGTTGGTCAAAACACGGAAAATATCGGCAAAATCCACTGCTATCTTGTTCATGGTGAAACCACACTGTGTAGCTCCATGTCTTGATGCACACGTCCATGTCGAACAAGTCCGTCAAGACATTCTGCTTTTTGTGGTGACAAGATGTGACAAGTTACTCCATGCTGCATCAATGAAGTAATTTCCAAGTGCGTAGGCCTCTCGTGAGGATGGGTTGCAGTGTTTTCCCACTTCTCACAAGAAGTGCGGCCCGACCCGCTTTTTGACCACTGGAACTAATGCGCAAAAACAATTTCCTTGTGCAACTTCAATCCGATCTACGACCTCTTCCTGTTGAAAGAATAGTCGACACATAAATCCTTCTTGACATTCTTGTGTCAACTCAAGATGTTCAACAATTTGAGCTTTGGAAGTTGAAGTTGCAACCAACATTGCGTGCCACGAGAGCGCTTCATTTTCCACCTCGTTGTGAACGATCACATAAATGGCACATTGATCCCGTGGCATCGGTCGACTCACCATCAGGAATACGCTATCTTCTCCGTGAGCTTCCCATGGAGTGACAAAGGGCCAGACTAAATGCACTTGTCTGCCCGCAAAAATGCTGACTGTATGCCACAGTTGATATAGTCATCAGATTTCTTTCTGTGTCAAACTGTTCCATCTGAGAAAAGACCGCTGGGATTTCCCAATGCTTGTGAGCATCTATCAAAACCATGCTTGCTGGAATGTCACCCGTCAGCCAAACCGCTGTGAGCTCCTGTTGGATTTCGGCAAACCTGGCAACAGTAGTGACACCACTGACTTGATCAGCAAAAAGGGCCACTTGCTCTTGGCTACTCAGGTCCTGAGCGCCAATAGCGCGCACTTGCTCCGAATCCATACTTGCTGCAAAAAGGAAAAACTTCTTCTGCTTCATCTGCACCAAGGAAACATCATCAGCAAGACACAGGGTTGCAGTGTTTTCCCTGTAGTTGCTGCTTTGCACACTGAGATCATCTCCACTCTCATCATCTCCTTGTCGAGCTGACGACGAGGCACTTGCCAGCTCGACTTGAACAAGTAGGGCAACTTCAGCTTGCAAATTCATAACCTCCTGCCCCGCCCCCATCTCCAGGAAAAGTCCTGTTGAGAGATCACGCAAGTCCACCTCAAGTCACATTGATGATCGGGGATCATCTTGTCAAAGAAGACCTGCGCCGTGGCATCCTCATAGCCTTGTCTCCACAAGACTGTGCCAAGTTGTCGTTGGGGGCCATTCACAACCAACACTAAGATAGGACGGATGCCGGAATTGGTCTTGGTGACCACAATCACTTGCTCTCCACGCATGTTCGAACACGAGAAATGTGAAAATCGAGCCCGACCAGCCCGTCCTCCAATTGATCAAACACTACGGCGTGCAAACACTGTTTCGGTTTGACAAGTACGAACCTGTGCATGGAGACAAATGACGCGCCTTGCAAAACGATGATGCATCCACAATTTGACGCCCCTTGGCATCATGTGATTGCACCAATGGCCATTCAATCCTGGATGCATTTGCATGAGTGCATTTTCCTCACTATCCCCCCTAAACCAATGAGCGGTGGCTGCCTCTGCAATCTACTTTGACTGGAATTGGCCATGCGCTGACCATTGCAGTGTGCACCCTCCATTTAGCCTAGGCAACAAGGGTCCCCATGGCACCCATCTCAATATCAAACCATGCCCAACCAACACAGGCGCTTGCATTGACTGCGGTGGCTGCTCATTGACCATAATGACTGCGCAAGTCCCTTCAGCTGGCTGAGGGATCACAGGCCAAATGATTTGTCTCTGAGTGACCTCAAACAGGGTCGGTAAAAACCTCTGAGGCCAATCACTCTCATGCAATTGTTCAGTCGGAATGACCAAACTCTGCCTATCATTTTCATGAATGATAGTGAATAGTGACTTGCTTCTGCTCCTGGAATCTGCTGGCTGTACTGACAACTGAGGCCCAGACAGCGTGATTAGCTAAGGCAAACTCTTCTTCTCGTGTTGTTTGGTTGGACGTGGTGGTTTGCGCACGACTAGCGCTTTCCATACGAGGCATTGGACTAGTTTCCACCAACAAGCGATATAGAGGGAAAATTGTCTTGACCACTCTGGGCTTCTCAGTCACCGGAACCCGAATCCGGTGTCTGGTTCCTTTGATCTTGACCATCTTCTTTCTACGGCAACACTTCTTCCAACACAAGGACGAAAGAATGATGCGCAACACTACAGCTGACATGGCGAGCCTTGCACTAAAGTCTAAAAGACCCCGAATGTACAGGAGCTGCATTTGCAGTGCTTTTACCTCATCATGAGTTACTGCGGAGGTTGTACTTTCATCTGCAGATCTGGTAGTGTCACTCAGGATGCTTGTCCTAATCTGCATCGAAAGCTTGCGTGAGTCTCTGCACTGGCTCGGTTCTGGCATTGACCTAGCGAACAAATGCGCCCTGGGAATTGCCGGAACTGCCCAGTAGTAGCGGGCATACACTATCAATCCTTCCTTCTTAGAAGGAAAACCCAATTCCAACTATCCATACTTCTGATTTGAGGGGAACAGTCAAAAGAAAACCTGCCGAAGAAACTGCTGAGCTGCAAGTCCACCTTAAATGGCGCCGTGGATTCCCACATCCTGCAACCCGCACATGCTCTTGCGCCCAAAGAGCTGACTGGGCATTGGTCTTCTCCGTTCATCCCTCTTGATGATCGAGCTTGGACTTTTTGGCGAGATTGCCAACTGGCGCCTCGACTCTCTTGGCTGGCGAAATCGAGGCTCTCCCAAATTGGTTGGGATTGGGTAGTCCACCTTTGGGTACTGCAAAATCGGTGTCTGTCATCAACTCCTCGTCTGATATCCGCTCTGTGGTGTCGACTGGATCCAAGTAACCATCTTCTGCCACAGCCTCCTGTAATTCTTCTTCTTCTTCCGGAACTACTGTGTAAGAGCAGTTCTCCTCAGAGTTTCCTGAAGTTCCACCAACTTCTCTTTCCTGGATTTCAATTCCTCCATAGCAGCAGATCTTTGTTCTAGGTAAGCCACTTTCTCTCGCTCGAAGGCAGTCTTGATGGTTTCGGCAATCAATTTCCAATCCTTGTCTATATCCACGATGGCCTCCTTGGCTTTCACATACTGCTTCTTGGCTTGAGCGATTTTGTTGAGAACACCATGTGTGATCTCTGGTCTGCTCGCTGATGAAGCAGAAGCGGCCTCCATATTTTTGTCTTTGAGCTCCTTTGTATACGCACTCCCCAACGTGCGTGCGTTTGAGCTCCTCGATCTGGCTTTTCACTTCTTGAGTGATCGCCGGGGGAGCCGGCGGCTGTGGCAACTCTGGGGCTGGTGGTAGAGGCAATTCCTCTTCTCGTCCCTGCCCAAGGATGCCAATCTGGTAGCCGGCGTGCTTTTGATCCAAGGTACGCCAGGTGAGTCTTTGACTGCTGACTTTCTTCCTGAAAATGGGGTCAACATCAGCAGTTCTTCTCGACCTTGGCCTTTTGCATTCTTCATCGGCTTCTTGCTTTCTTCTGGTCTGCCTTTTCTCGATTTGGAACGTGATTGTTTGTGCAACACTGTTTGCCACCACCCTTGGCATTGGTGGCAGTACAGCCTTGACATCGTCATGCTGACCCAGCAATTCTTGCGCGTTCACTTCTGCTGTTTCGACATTGCAGGAGCTTTCGAGCCGTGGTGAGAGTTCAACAAATCCTGAGAAAGGTCGATGTGCTTTCTCAGTTTCTCGCCAATTCTCACTCTTTTGAAACTCCTCAAAAAGGATCTTGCTCTCTTTCTCTTCCTTCGAAGATTCCGATGCCAAGACTCCTCTGTCGCCAGCGTAAAGACAATCGAGAAGGCCACAGAAAAAGATAGTCGCCCACCAGCGTCCAACCATGCACGGTGCAACGCTAGGGGGCTAAGGTTCACACTTCAAAAACTAATGAGGGACCAGCACCAAAAAAAAGGTCAATGCGGGCCCCATGTTCTCAACATTTCTCCCTCTATATTGTCTTTACAACTCAATGAGCAAGGCTACCTCTCATTGCGAAAATCGAGCCTGTCATACGGTGTTGTAAGTTGTGTCTGTGCATGTCCCTCGCGCGCACTGGTGACAAACGATGCATGTGAAGGCACCGAGCGTGGACCACCGGCTGGACGAGCACAGCCAAATACAAAGCCTGTTTTCAAGAATGGAGAAAAAGAGTGTGGACTGCTCAGTCAAACATGTGGACTGACTCAAACCTTTCAACACTTCAGTCTTTGTGCTCGTCACTTCTCTTGTCCATCTCACCTTGTCCGGAACTTTCATCTGCTCTCTGCTGGCCACGGCTCGATCCTGGCTCCGGAGTCGCTCACTCTCCTTCACTCCACCGTTACAACAAACAAACTTACCAATGCACTAATTCCAATACAAACCAATAGGTGTCCGCAACTCACAGGCCACAAACCAGCTGGACAACTGACGCACTGTGTCTACATAGTGACTACGTGTATCGTCTTTCCTCTTCCATCTCTCCATTTTGCTTTCCACAACTCAAAAGAACATAAAGTACCATGGAAGATCTGAATTCGTCGAGTCTCTGTCCACTTTGACGCCCAAACCCGCTTCAGTGCCCGTTGCCAGTCGCCAGCATCTAACGCTTTGGATGCTTCCCCAAGCGCGGCGTCCAGCGCCGGGCGGACAGAGCTTGGCACTGCCTCGTGAGGCCGCCCGGCAGGCGCAAATTGACATCCTATCGCTTGGCAAATTACATCAGTAATGATTCAGTAATGTATATATAACAAATACTGTACATGTATACACCAAGAGTCGTTGTCTACAGATTCTGAATCGACCAGTAGGTGGAGTTCAATGGAGACACCACTTAAGAGGAACAAATTTTTTGATCGGGGTTTAGATCTCTGCTCGTTTTTGTGCATTCATCAGTGGATGTTTGGTAAGCGTGCAGCTCCAGTGTGCAGTTTGGAGGGACTTTCCCGACAAAACACTGGCTGCAAGTTGCGACAGGTCACAGGAGTCTTTTGTTTGTGTAAAACAATTGAACGTCTCAAATCTTTGTCTGCGCAACATATGTGCATGGCCCATGGCATTGTACTTGCTGACGCACTAAATCATTTTCGGTGTTATAATCATACATGTTACATGATGCTAATTGATTGGATTTCAAAAAAGAACATGCTGTCGCTTGATTATACGTGTATTGTCCACACATGTGCAAAAGAGCTCCCATTTGCGGAACACTCACTCAGCTGATCAAGTAGCTGGCCGATAGAGAAAAACAAACTGCGCGGGGTTGCTGAAATTTCGATCACTATCAGTGGTCGTGTTTTTTGGTTGAAATCGATCAAAACACATTCAGGTCGCTTCGCGAAGACAACCGCCAGCACCAGTGGCTTTTAGAGACAGGGTAAAAGGATGTATATAAAAGGGATATATCCATATATATCCGCCGACCCCACACCGTGGGGTGAGGCGTGACTGTCGATGTTAGCCTTAGCCTTAAGCCTTAGCCTTAGATTATGGCCTTAGCCTTAGACTTAGCCTTAGACCTTACCTCCCCTACCCCTCCGGACCCTTGTTGCAGTGACGAAATCCCTACCAAATTGCGACGCGATTCCTACCAAAGCGCGACGTGATTGTGCCCTGGATTGTCCAAGATTCTGCCATCCCAATTGATTTACACCTTGGGGCACCCTCTCTACCCGCGCGGGAGAAAATAAGCACGGTCCAAAATGGTCCCGGGCTCGAATCCCGGGCTGGTCGCGGCGTGTTTCCTAGATTTTGTGACAATTTCTATTGGAATTGTCGGATTTCCCGGGCTGGTCGCGGCGTGGTCCCGGCCAATGCCCTGGCTTTTTCCTAGAGTTTGTCACGTTTTCTGTTGGATTTGTGGGATTTTC